AAGATGACCCCTTGTCCAAAAGACCAGAAATATTAGAAAGTGAAAACATACTTGATGTCCAGGTGAGCCTGGAGGAGATGACATTCACTGGGGAATGGATTCCTGCTCCAACTTACATGCACTTTCTCATTAATCACTTAGGTTATAAAAGCAAACATTTTCTAGGGTACTGATCTGTTATTCTTTGCTTCAGAAATGCTTGCTTCTTCCTTCATGTATTTTCCCTGATTTCTTTTTTCAAATAGCACCCCAGCCTCATCAGCAGGGGTAGAAAGGCATGTCCCAGGTTAGGAAGAGGAGTAATGGCAGGGCTAGGGGTCATGTGCTAGGAAGCAGTTGGTTGCAGCCAGCGTTTCCACTGCTTCTCTGAACAGGTGAGTGTCTTGTTTAAAGTCTCCTTTCCCACTCATCCAAACAGATGGAGGAAAGAAATCAGGGTACTTTTTCTTAATTTTTTTTTTCCGAGCTGTAGCACTAAGTCAGCAAGCAGTGGCTCCATGCTCTTGCACTTCCTAAGACAGCTTGATAGAGACAAACTGGAAAAATATCAGGGTTAAGTATCAGTACAAAATTTTTAAGCCCTGTATAGGCACAGATTCTTTGGCATCTTTGTGCCCAGAAGCAAAACTGCCAATATTTAGGTTGCCTTCACATTTTTCCAAGTCACTTTCAGAGCTGTTGCCTGCTCACACCTTGATGGGTGTGTAGCTGGGTGTCAAAGTTACTCACAGCCAGGTTAAGCCCTGAATAAAACCTGAAGAATGTGATCCAAATGGCAAAGTAGCAAAACAAAACAAATCAAACAAACAAAAATCACCACCACCAAAACCAAAACCAAACAAACAAAAGGAAGAAAAACTTCCCAAATTTGAGTATTCCTTCTGAACAATCTGAACTGACCATTCATGTGAATAGGGCACTTAAGGCATGATTTCTGTTCTACCTTCAACCTCAGGGAGGCTCCTTGCCTGGACCAGCAGATACAGGCTGTTTCTGAGGATGCTGCAAGCCCCACAGCAGCTGGCAAGGTATGATAAGACTTCTTCCTGCTGTTCCTTTGTATCTGGTATAACTTCCCTATAAAGCAGAGAGCTACTGTTGCTTGCATGTATTTAGTCTTTTGTTATGAAAATTCTCCTTGCCATTTATGTACTTCTAATCCCTTTAAAATATGGCTGAGCTTTTGGTTGCTGTGATACTTACCCTTTGGCATGGATGACCTCCTTCTCATCCTTCACGGCACACAGCTGTTTGCACCGAGCTCTCTGCTGCTGCTGCTCTGTGGTGTTCAGTGTCCTGCCCTAGTAACACAGGGTGTCACAAGTGGTGATTACCTGATTAACTTGTGCTAGGGAAGATGCTGGCTCTGAACAGGAGATGGTGAATGCAACATCTCATGATTCCTAAGAGCTCTATATTTTCCATTTAAAGATACTTAAATGCCAGAAAGAGCATTACAGGCGTATGTTCAGGGAATTGACAGAATCAGGGGTTTGTAAGAACTATTGTCCTCTTGTATTTAAAACCTTAGAAGAAGCGTGATGAGAAGAGGCACAAGATGCTGGCTGCTGAGCTATAAAGGCTTCTTTGTGCTGAATCATCTGGCCTAAAAAGAGCTCTGGCTCTCTCCTGCTAAGTGGCCAGTGGTGCTGGTAGACCCCACGGAAACAGTTTTTGTTAGCCAAGATTAGCTGCAGGGAGAGGTGTCTCAGTCCTTTTGCTACAAAACAGGCTGCAAAAGGCACTAAGGGATGAATTTGAATTTTCTTCTTTTGCTCTACCATGGAGCTTTCCACTTAAAGCTGCAATTGTTTGGCTCCAGACCTGGGACAGAGTGCAAGTCAGTATGGGAGCAGCATGGACTTAATGTGAGTTCATGTGGATGCAGCATTGCAGGGTGTTTGTGGAATCGAGGGGAGGATGCTGCATCTCTGAAGTCTATACTCAGATACAACTTTTTATTACCTTGATGACAGGATAAATTAGCTGTGGGATAAATGTTCCTCTCAAAAAAGTAACCTCCCAACAAAAGCAGCCATCTTCCTTTCAACATGCTCAGGCAGTCCTTGCTGTCATAGGCTTCCCACTTTGCTAGAACTTAGTCATGCCTCAGAAAGCTTCATTCAAGGGCAGGTTTTATTGGGATGGACCAGTTCAATAGCCTTTTTCTATCAGTGCCTGTAAGACCAGGCTTCCTGGGAACCCTTGAATATTGCAGCACTCCAAAGAACCAAAAGCCTAGAAAAAAAAGGTGGTAAATTGCAGTGCCCTCACATTTCCTTCACTTTAGTGAAATTCAGTGTGGTGCACTTACATTCACTCCTTCGTTGTTTTTTCCAGGCAGTCTTAGACATAGATTGGAGGCTGAGTGCTTATATCAACAGCACTCCTGGCTCTCCCATCTGGAGTTATATTTTTCAGAGGCAGGACTGATATTCACCAGGATGTGTCCTAGCCCATGGGGCAGGTTAGGTCAGAAACATCTCCTGGTTTATTTAAAAAGTTGTGATGGACATTTTTCTGAGTCTTGGCAAATATGGATGTATTTTGTATAAAGAGTGTTTTCCACACCTGCCCAGAAGGAGGTTCAATGGCCCATAAACGCGAGTGGTGCCCAGAAGATGAGAGACTTCCTGCCCCAAAGGATTGATGAGCAGCCACAATGCAGCAAATTCAGTGAAAGTCCCTCTAGGAGGGTGACTTTGTCCCCTCATAGGTAGGCGACTTCATTTTAAACCAAGACTGATTTGACTCAATCACACTCATATCTACACCTACATACTCACGAGATGGATGTATCCAAGCTGTCTGACCAACATGCACTAAGATGCATGTGTCCATCTTTGCAATGACTCTGAGGATGAGGGATAGTGCCCTCATGTCCACATCAAATACCCTATGTTGTTCTTAGATTGGTGACCTGTGCTGGCTCTGGATGTGCCATTTGTACCCTTTAGTTTCTGGCAGATACTGCACTGTCCATCCTGCTCCACCTCTGGGAGTTACCAGGATTTACTCCCTGCCCTTCATTTGCTGTGTTCAGAGCAGCAGCATGCTCTGTGTATGCTGGCATCTTGGTGAGCTTCTCATCAAGGTCCTATCAGCATCTGTCACTCTTGTAGCATCCACTTACAGTCTCCTCCCTTTGGTTCCTTCTGGTGCCTCATACGCAGCCATTGCCATTCCTTCCCCACTCCTACCAGTCTTCTCATTGTTATTACTATTAAGGATGTTCTTCTGTCATTAGAAGACAGTCAAATCTGTAAGATGTTTTTTTCTGAATGAATTTCTGTAACAGATTTTTTTTGAGGGGGGAATTAGCATTATGGACATTAAAATGCAGGAAATTGTGTACACTTTTTTTAAAATCAACTGCTTCAAGGGAGAAAATGAGAAATGTTTTTGAGAACAGCTTTCCGTTACATGAGAAAGCAGAAGCTCCATTCCTCATTCTCACACCATCTGTGTTTATTAACCTTAACTATTTTAGCAACAAAACATCTCTCACATCTTTTGTGTAAGCCAGGCTAACAGCATCCACATAACCATCAATGCTAGTGCAGAAGCCACATAGAAAAGCAAGGTAAAAAGGTTTTTTTATGCTTTATTCTAAGCTCCAGAGGCCCAAGAAAACCACCTGAAACTCTTCACAGTTCATGCATAGCACAAGGTAGACTTTCTATGAGTGTATGCATATAACCTGGACCAGCCCTTTATTGCATCCAACCCAAAATCTTATTTCCAGCAGTGGCCATGACAGAATAGGCAAGAAAGACCATAGGAATAAGACAAGACACATACAGTAACTTCCTCTCAGTCTATAGTATTCTCTCAGTCTATAATAATTTTCAGTGTAGTTTGTATGTGTTTAGCAAGTCTTAAAGGATTTTTCTCCCAGTCGTTTGTCCTTGAACCAAATTCTAGCATCTCCAACATCCATTGGCAAAGGCTCAATAGTGGACTGCTTGTCCAGGAGAAGCATGATCATAGGTTATGCTCTACCTTTTATAATCTGGTTTGGGTCTTCCTGAGACCCAGGAGACGACTCTGTTATGAAAGTTCATTGTGGGTGTCTGCAAAGGGGTATCAAAATGAAAATCAGTATTAGAGGCAGTATAATTTATTTCTTTGGAAAGAAATACTTCAGATGAGTTAGTTATAAGGGTTTTTTTCACCAAATACTGATTTTCCCAATTATGCTAAGCTTGTGAGTCTGTCTTTATAGAGACTATAAACATTTTTAGCTCTAATTTCTGTCATATGGCATATCTCAAGTCTTAGCTTGTTTCTCCAGCAAACAGTGTCTAGCACAGCATATTAATTTCCCATTCCACTGAGTGCATTATGATGCTGAAGTCCAGCAGGTGAGTGTTTCACTGGAGCATATTTACCAATCATTCTTTAAAGGGAAGATATTTTTCTTCCTGTAGTATTCAGACACTACATCTTATTCCATGTTTGTTGCCTATAAACTTCTCACAGTCCAAGGAAAGAGGTTTCTGGGGGAGCACTTGTTGATTAGGATGAACAGAAATCCTGAATGTGCATAAAACACTTCTCCAACCACAGTGTTCAGTTTGTGCAAGTCAAAACTGCTCTCACCTGGGGGTTAAGTGATGGGTGCCATGAAGAGCACTCCCCAAGCACCCAAGCAGGAGTGTGGCAAGGACAGGTTGCAGGCTCAGCTCTGCCTGGGGCAAGCTCACTGGAAGGGCTTGAGAGAAAAAAAAGATGTTTATGTTGCACCCATGTTTGGGGTGAGTGATGCCCCATGAGGACTCACAGTGGCAGCCTGGGACATCCCTTCAGTGTGGGGCTCCTCTGGTTTTTGACTGACCCTCTGCCAGGACCAGCTGGGCTCCATCTCTGCTGGAAGGGTGGTTGCTGTCACCCCAGGGCTGAAGGAAATACCACGGAGAAGGAGAAATGCAAGACTTGGGGGGATCTTGGTAATAAGGTAGCAAAGGTAATAAGAAAGCAAAGACACCCTGACAGCTGGGTCTCATTGATTTCCAACAGATTGGCATTTACATTTTATTTATACATTTAACAGAAAACAGGTAATTAGCACTAAGAGAGGTCATAAACCAGCAGCAACATGAATCATACTTGATGTTACACTTACTGTCAGAAAAACTGTGCACATAAGCCCACGAGATATGATGCATGAAGTAAGCATGAAAGATTGCTCCCCAGGTGCTGGTCCCAGGAAGCTCTCAAAACTCTGTCAGCAAATAATTTTTATGTTGTAGTTCACATTCTTCCTTTCCCTGTAAACAATTTGATCTGGATGTAAACCATCAGGAAATGCTACGATGGGACAAATGCTCAGGGCTGTGCAGAGGCCATGCCAAGCTCTACTCTAGGGGTGGTCAGGACTTGGAGCTATCTGCATGGCTGCCTGTCACCAGAACAGAAGGCTGCACAGCCACACAGCTCTGCTGGGCAGGGCTCTGTGTCCCTCCCTAGGACATGCAGTGGTGTCCAGGACTAGCACTTTCCTCCACACTTGTTTTTACCCTTGTTTTTACCATGCTGTCTGTCCTGAGTAGGAGCAACCCTCCATGCAGGTGGCCACTCAATTCCTCTGTAGGTTGAGCTCTGTTGTGAAGGGCAGATGGGCTTTAAGCCCTTCTAGAGAAGCAGGGTGGAAAATCAGAAGTAGATCTACATAGCAGCTTGTTTTATCTCTTTTGTACATGAAAACAAATAACTCAATGCTGTGATGTCCTTGGGGTTAATATGAGGTTAATAGGAAGGTTGTATTACATTTTTCATCTTCCTTTCCAACTTTTAATCTGTAGTTGATTTACTTTTTTAATGGACAAAACACAGGAGTGGCCCAGAGATGCTCCTGGGACTGTAGCAGGAATCAGATAGGGACAGTGGTGCTTGGTATATTATCTTCAGTTTTAAATGTTTTATCAATTCCAGATCTGGAAATATGTATTATTTTAAAAGTACAGGTGTGCAGAACCCCTCTTCTGCAGCAAATCTCCTTATTAGGGAACTGTGAAATATGTCACACCTCAGATTAGTGAACAATTGATCCTTGAACTTTTAGACCACCTTCTATTTCCTCTAATATTAAAGCTCAGTCCAAGCTCATCACATTCAAAATAATTCCCGTTAAACTGCTGTGAGTGTGCTCCAGTACAGCAGCAGGCAGATGTGGGAAGGGCAGGCTGCCTTTCAGATCTGCCTGAACAAGGAGCCTCCAACTGCTACAGCTGGCTGGCTGCATGGGAGCAGAGTCCCCTTCCCAACCTGCTCTCTTTCACTTGTGAAACACTTGAGTCCTCTGGGATCTGCAGAAACGGGATTTACCTGATTTACAGCATCGGGACTGCCAGAGAAACTGCTTGTGGGACACTGCAAGGGTAACACCCATAGTGGCATATTTAAAAGCCCCATCTTTGCTGCTAACTGGACCACTGCAGGAGACTCAGATTTCCTTTCTTCATTTTTTCTTGACACTGGGGCCATTAACTTCCCAACTGCTTTCTGTGTCAGTCCTAGCTTATACCAGCCTTGCCTTTCCTGGATCATCCTTTCCTTGCACTGGCACAAGTGTCTGTACAACAGTGACAGAACAGAGCAGCCACCAAAACCAGGTTTAAACAAAGCTTTCAACGAAGGGGAAAAAAATGAAAAATGTTTCATTTTAACACAGATCAGTTCCTCAGTCTTGTGCTTCACAATGTTGGGGGTGAGTTAAAAAAGAAATACAAAAGGGAGACTGAAGAGCAAATGATGTGGGAAAGGACAACCTAGACTATAAATGGTTGGATGTGATCAGTCTCAATCACTTGGCTTTAGACAATATAAAAATCCTGTTTAAGTGTTCAGGTATTTTTGTAGCCTTAAATCACTGTCTCTCTTCTCTCTGAAACAACCTCCAAAAATGGAGAGTGGCAACAATGGCAGAAGCAAATGCGACCGGTACTGTGGGTAGGTGTATGGAGAAGCAGCTCTCGCCCAAGTGACCAGCCTCATTCCTGGCTCCCTGAGCTGCCCAGGAGACCCTGGAGGACTGACATCTCACTTTGTTTTCCTGATTTCCTGCAGCTTGTGGAGACTGAAGCAGGACTCTGCTCTGCTCAAAAGAGTGAGGGTTTAGAGGCTGTGCCGAGTAATCTTAGGAGATGTGTGTCCTGGCCCACACACACTGCTTGGACTGGAGTGGATTTATTCTACTTTGAATTCCTACCTTCAAGATGACTTCCCAAGAGGATGAATTCTGATCTGCAGTTCATAGGGACAGAAGAAGAAAGCTCCAGTAATGCCAACCAGCCCTTCACTCCCTATATTCCCCTTATGCATCATCCACTGTTTGGATTACTGATGGCTCTAGGCCCACTGCAGGTACATTTTAATCTTTGGTATCTGATTTAGACTATTTGACTTGAAAACAAATGTAAGGAGTAAGCTGTCACCTCCAAAGCGTCCTGGCCAAGTGGACCAGGTTACCAATATTGCTAAGTACAGGTGCTGGCTGTTGCTGGGAGCAGCTCCTTGTGGGTCCTGGCAGCCAACTAACCAGGTGTTGTTCTTTCTGAGAGATATCAACAGAGATTCCTGCTGGCATTAGGCTATGAAACACAGCCGTGTGTTATCACTGAGCAGAGTGGAGTAGGAAAATCCCTTTTCAAGTGTGGGGTGTTCAAATCAATGCAGGGGGCTGGGAGCAGCCCATAAACAATTTGACCTTCACTCCTGCAAAGAGATCACACATCCAGGCTGCTCTTGGTTTCTGAGGTGCTCTTGGTTGAACAGGTCTATGCAGTCCTCTCCTCAGACCAACTGGAAAATGACTGCAATGCTGTTATAAAACCAAGGAATAACTGAATATTCTGGAGATGCAGAGTCCTACAGCTCCAAAAGCAATGTAAATTTTTTAAAGGTTCCAGTCACTCTCAAAGCATAAAGAAACATGATAGAAATAAATGCAGGGGAAAGTTAAGAGATGTACTGCAAGGCTGCTATTTTGGAGTATGAATTTACTTTTCAATTAAAAACAAGATCTTGGAGTTTAGGGAGAATCTGCACTTAGTTCTGGATCCTGTGCCTTTGCTGTTCCTTTTATTTACAGAATAAGTTGCAGAAAGCTGTTGTTATTTTAGACATGCATATTTTTTATCTGAGCATTACTGCCTACCAGAGACTTTGATTTTTTTTAAATGTTGGCTAATTTTGTGTTTTGAGTAGGAAGTTTCAGCTTCACACCAGTGCTACACATGCTCTTCTGCTATCCAGCAGTCTGGGCAAGATAAACCTGTAACCAAGATATTCCTCCACTAATCTCTATGGCTTTTAACAAGATTCTATTATTGCTCACCTTACTGTGGACTTTGAGAAGTTGTGGGGAGTAATCTTCAAAATATCTGGGATGCAGGCAAGTGTCCCTATGTATCCACCTAGACCCAGTTTTCGGTTTTGCTTTCTAACTGCTGAACAAAGCAGGGAAGGCAGGGCCAGGTGAGATGCCCACAGTGATCTCTGCAGCAAGCCAGCCTCTTTCCCCCCCAAAATGCACTAGCCACCTCTGCTCCCATACCAGATGCCTTCCCAAATCCTCAGTCCCCTCCCAACACTTCTGTAATGTTTGTCCTGTACCAGCTTCGAGCTCACAGGAGAAGGGACCCTCATGGGCCCCACTCCTTCTCACCCACACTTACGGTGGAAGGGAGTGCCCAGGCAGCATCAAGGCAGGAAAAGTCTGTGAAAAGCAGCAGAATTAGCAAAGTCTGGCACATCAAAGCAAGTCCTAAAGCAGGCAAAGCAGCAGCAGCTAGGAAAGGTAGTGACCCAGTCCCAACATCCCACCTTGTCCGTCTCTCCACCTTGGCACAAGGTGGAAGCAGTGGGCAGTGCCAGCACCCTCAGCCTGCTCCACGGCTCATTCATCGGGAGCAATGAGGAGGATTAGCACTTGGTATCAACTTGGGCATCTGCCTGCCTGCCAGGCTTGCTCTTTAAAACAGGCTGTCAAGCACAGATAGCTGTTGAATCAATATGTGCCTGGTAGCTGTTGCTTCTGCCAGCACAGGGTGGGCTGAGCCACTGCACACCACGAGGGATCCAGGCTATGAGAGAGAGGATGCCAGTGCTGACTCCTCAGTGCCCATATCAGATGACTGTGACAAAGCAGTCAAACAGGAAGACTTCAGGGATTGTGTCTCTGCCACTGCCAGTCTCCCCTGCCAGTGCCAAACAGGCATGTTTGCCAAGCACAGAGGAGACTGGATACAGTATGGTTGGTCAGTTCTTTGAATGAGATGTGAAAGCAAGAGCCTCCTCTACCAGCCTTGACAAATCCTTTCCATGTCCTGAGCAGACTACGAAAATCAGCTGACATCCAGATCACTGTCTCCTCTTCCACTGGGCAGCTTTTCATGCCCATCCCAAGGCTGCAAATTGCTGTGGATAGTAGCTGTGACGTTTATCCAGACCATGGCTGCTTACCCGTGCTTGCATGGAGGGCCTGGCGCTTGATGGTCCCGCTGCAGAGGTGATGTCCGGCTACTTGGAGCTCGTGTACTTGGTGACAGCCTTGGTGCCTTCAGAGACAGCATGCTTGGCCAGCTCTCCTGGGAGCAGCAGGCGCACGGCTGTCTGGATCTCCCGGGAGGTGATGGTAGAGCGCTTGTTGTAATGGGCCAGGCGGGAGGCTTCTCCAGCAATGCGCTCAAAGATGTCATTGACGAAAGAGTTCATGATGCCCATGGCCTTGGAGGAGATACCAGTGTCAGGATGAACCTGCTTCAGCACCTTGTAGACATAGATGGAGTAGCTCTCCTTCCTGCTTTTGTGCCGCTTCTTATCGCCCTTCTTCTGGGTCTTTGTCACAGCTTTCTTGGAGCCCTTTTTGGGGGCTGAGGTTGACTTCGCTGGCTCTGGCATCCTGAGAAATCTTTCGCTGGGTGTTGGAGCTGCTTGGAGAAAACATGAAAAAAAATCTAATTCTTTTTTGATCTTCTACAGAGTAATTGTATTGAAAGATGAGAGAGTCTGAGTCAGAGACAAGGAATAGCTCTGAATCTGAGATAAATACCCCATAACCCTGTGCAAGCATTTTTGAAATCCCAACAAGAACTGTTCTGTTTTGTGTATGGCTTTCTGTTGTTTTCTGTTTAAATCCCTGTAACACTGGACTTGTCAGCATCGCTGAACACAGGCCTAGTTGGCATCTACTTAGTAAATATGAGATGGAGGGTGAACATCTTTCTGAGAAATATGTTCTAGTTCCAAAGAAAACATTGACTGCAGTATGGATTAAATGAAATCTTGCTGGAATGGGTCAAAGACTGTTGCAAGGTATCACTGAAGCCACCTTATATGAAACTGGTCTAAATAATTTTATGTGGTTATTACAATCTCCAATAAAACCTTTTTTCTTTGCATGTAGGTAGAAGTTTATTTTGAGGGTACTTGCATTTCTGTGGCTATTGTTTGACACCATGTATTCCAGTGGAATACAAAAGAAATACACTTTTAAGCTAGCTAGCTGAGCTATAGAAATCTCTCATTATTCACATTAGCTAGCAAAAAATATCAGAGAGTAGAAAAGCGTACAGGAGGTGTCAGGAATCACCTGGAAAAGAAACAGAAATGTGGATAGGAGTCAAACATCAAAGTGATTTTGGGCTACATGTTGATGGAAAGAACTGTTTTCTGCTATTTGGTTCTTTCTGCTTTTGAGTGAGCAAGTCTTCACTGGACGATTTACACCAAAGAAGCCTGATCCTCCCTCTGAGTTTCTCTTCATTAGGCCACAACCTGCAGAGCCGTGATCTGCTGACTGCTGAAAGCAGCTGACTGCTTTCATCCAGAAGTGCAGTAACAAAAAGGCAGTATGTAAACCATCAAAAAACTCTGTGCCTCTGCTACACTACAAATTTACATGTGCTTTACTACATGGGTCAAGGGAATAACTGAGTTGCAACCTGGTAAGTGGTTTTGTGTTTCAGAGGGCACTTGGAGTGCTCTTGAAAGTCAAGGCTTCTCTGGAGGATAAGATTCCAGCATTACCCAAGGGCTTGGGTTTTACTGCTCTCTGTCTCTTTTGAAGATGACCTCAGAATTACAGTCTGCTGGCCAAGAGAGACCAGTAGAGAAAAAAGAGTTTGAGAGTTGATGGCACATGGGAAAATGGATAGAAGTAAACAGGAGAGAGAAAGCTGGGACGTAACATACGGTCTGCATACTCGAGAGTATCAGAGAAGGACCTCAAGTGGTGCCTGTGCCAAAGCAATGGCTGCATGCTCAGCCCTGCCTCTCCTCCTTGGGAAGGAGCCTGGTTTCTCCACTGCTGCCTGCATTTGCATTTAAAACCAGATGCAGTAGCACTGTTGCAACCAAGTCTATGCAAAGTTCCTGGTTGCTCCCTGTGAGAGCAGACATCTTTGATACCGAGGCTGGATTGACATGCCCACATCTCAGTGGATACCAGCTCCTGCTTCCAAACCACGCAACAAACCTCCGTGGCTCCAAATCAGTATGTGAGATGATGCCTCCTGTACTGCTGGCTGCTCTGTGCCATGAAGCACCAGTACTGGGCTCTGGCAGCCTCAATGGTCTGGCAGGCACTGGGCAAGGGGCAATGTGGAGCACTTGAAGTGGGGGTACATCCAGCTGCAAGGGTACAGTGGCATTGCTCGGGATGCCAGGGAGCAGGGAGGCAAGGCCTCCACCACAGCCCTCCAAAACACCCTCCAGCCTAGAAGCCGAAGTTGGCGTCAGTGCCCTCAGCACTGAGTTTCTGCTCCAGCAAAGCCGTTTCTTCTCCAAAGACATGATTTTCATGTGCTAAGAGTTTCACTGTGTCCCCTCATGCCCTTTCTTAATTTCCCCATGCATTCTTCTCAGAGGTGGCATTTGGAAGGGCTAGTGCTAGACTGCCCCAAAAGTCCTGGACAGCCTTCAAAACTCTGACACCTGCCCCCTTAAATACCACATTTTCTTCCTCTGGTGAAATCACAAATTTTCTTCCTTTTTTCCTCTATTTGGGAAGCAGTATTGGGAAAAGAAATCCCCTACTGCTCTGTTTGTAGACTCAAAAATATGTCTTTTCAACGGAAAGGCATTTTTCCAAGAGAAGGAATAACTGTGCACATGCTTATTTTTCTCTTAAGCACATTTCCTGACAAAAACACCACAACTGAAAAATGCAAATGACTACTTCTTAGGCTTTTAAAAAAGTATATCCTTCTAAAATATGCATTAATTCTTAAGTGCACTTGTACTGCAGCTTATAAAAAATGAATATAGTGCCCAAGACAGCAGAGTGATTTCATATGACTCCAGGAAAGGTCACACCTACAGGACACCTCTGCCCATGTGACTGGCTAACACCCACCCTTGGGCAGCACAGCCAGGATCTCGCTCTTCTCCCATATGTGGCCACAGTGATGCTGAAGTTCAGAAATTAGCACAACAGTTTCAGTGTCCTTGCTTCTCTCTACCCATTTCTTTGCAGCTGACTGTTTAACAGCTAAATAACACCTGCTCTGAAAACAGATTGTATTCCTTTTGATTCATTTGGGCAGTGCCTACCACAAAAAGCCTGAGTGCACTTGCCAGGTAATAAATAAATAATGTTACTAATGATCAGTGGTGCCACCAACTCTTCTGTCAACATTGTATAATGTAACCCAGAGGCAGGTGCTGCTCTGGTATGAAGACAGAAGTAGTGGGATTATCCCCAAAGTGTCCATGTGGAGACTTTATTGAGGGAAACACTAAGTAATCTTTAAAAAAAGGCTTCTTTTTATGAAAATAGTTGCATCTCTTTCTTCTCCATTTAAAAAAAACTCAAAAAAACAAAAGAACAAAGAGAGAGAGAGAGAGAGAGAGAGATAAAGAACCTGGGGTTATTAGGTTTTGTGGTAGGAAGTGCTGCCATCATGATTGACTTCTCTACTGTGAGGTTGACCCAGCATTGGCACAGGTTACTCAGAAAGGTTGCAGAATACCAATCTTTGGAGATACTCAAAATCCAACTGGATGTGGCTCTGAGCAACTCACAGTCACTGACCCTGTTCTGAGCATGGACTGTGCAAGATGTTTGCCTGAGGCACCCCCAACCTCATCATTTCTGTGACTTGGAGACTGAAGATGGGTAGGACATGCTTTATGGGCTGTGTTCTCTTGATGGGCATTTCCCATGGGATACTGCAGCCAGAAACTTCCACAGGGACCCCTAAGGAGGGAAGGTGATGCTCGTCTCCAGGTCCAAGCCACTGAGGTCCCTGGGACACAGGGTATGGCCATGCAAGAGAAGGCACTCTGAAGCATCATGGTGACACTTGGAAGGTTTCAGGTTTTTGAGGAAAATCTTTGGGTGCATTTTTACTTTATGTCTTTGTACGCTCTGAGTCAACCAGTTATCAGTTCTGGCATTTTTTCTTTCCTCAGAAAACCAACAACAAAACCAGTGACAGTAATTTTTCCAGCCAGTTCCAAGCAGCAGCCTGACTGCTGCAAAAACCAGAGCAGTGTGGAGTGACAGATACATCTTCCTTTGTGTTGACACCCCTTTCTTCAGCATCATTAAAAGGAAAACGAACAGAAAAACATATTCCAAGATACAAATCACCACAGTCTCAGATCTGAAATGGAAAGGAGCCCTGCTGAGAAATCCCATGCTGTCTCTGTTTTCCTCAGGCCTGACATATAGTTGGAGAGAGACAGGCAGGGAAGCTCCTGCAAAATTTTTGTTCATTTTTTACCTTGCTGCTGCTGAGTCTGTAGGACCAATGCCAAGCTGGTGACAGTGGTGTGCGTGGCTGACTACGGGTGGACTATTAGATGGCCTTCTGGACCTGTCCTCATGCAGGGGTAGAAACAGCACTTGGATTTTTTTTCTTTCTTTGTCCTTTGAAAGTTGTCCTTGCTGTGATGAGCTCTGGGGCATCCACTGTAAATTCCCATGCCCAACAGACTGTTCCCTTTCTGTAATTTCCTAATCAACCATAAAAGATACATTTCTAGAGTGAAGACTTTGTTCTTACGTTTTGGTGAAAAATTAAACATTTGTAGGAAAACCTCAAGCTCTTTTGGACATCTCATGTTCTGGTATTTGCTAATCTTCTGATGTTCTATTTTAATCCTTGCTAGAGTAAATGAGAGCCAGTGGGCACCTGCTGTTTATTCTGTCCCTTCAGTAGAAATGTCCTGTTAGTTATGTTCAATTATTGTCCTTTTCCTTAGTTTCTCCTATCACATAAAAGAAAGAATACTTGGCTTTATTCCTATATGCTGAGAAATGTAAAGTGAAATTGGCTGATGCTTTTTGTTTTACTCTCTGAAACACAAAGAAGGGCAATTAATTAGGAAATGTTTCCAACAAAAGGAAAAGGCTTTCCAACAGATTAATTTGCTCTGAAATGCTTGTAAGATCTGGTAAATACAGTTTACAAATTACCAGGTGTCAACAAATGACTGTTATTGGAACAGCATATTTCTGCAAACTGCAAATCCCCTCCCTTATATAATATACAGCCATCTACCTGGAAGTTATTAAACAAGAATTTGCTCATCTGACAGGTATAATTACGTAGTAATAGTTGAGAAAACAAGCAATATTTTGTGATTATTTGGTACCAAGCTCTGCCTTAGGTACTGAAGCAGATCAGAAGAGTGATGAGTCACCGTGAGACTTTAGGGATGTTGCCTCCTGTGCAAAACCCGATAGTCATATTTGGAGCCGGAAACAACTTTTCTCTTGGTATGTTGTCTGGCATGTGATCATGAGGTAATATTTGCTTTGAATTAAAGAGGAGGTGAATTTCCTAGAATAAGGTAAACTGTTCTGAAATGCCCAGTTCCAATGACGGAGGGGCACAGAGAACAGTTTTGGGATCCTAGGTCTCCTCCCAGGTAAGCCAGTACCAGTAATAAGGCCCCATCCCAACTTCCACATGTTCTGCTGCATTGCATATGATATGAATGATAAAGTTATCATTTAAATGGCTTTTAACCTGGGATACACATATGCAGTGTTCTAGTGAAGAGATTCCTGCTTGCATATAAGACTATGAAAAAAGGTTAAAACTGAAGATGTCCCTTACTCCTTTACATAGAGAGAAATGCTACAAATTCAGGCTCTGACACAGACACATTATGTTCAAAGAGATCTTTAAATTTCTTTAGAACAAATGCATTGGTGTCCTAACTCTTTGACTGATCCTTATCTTGCTTCTTTTAACCCATTGCCTGGGAGTTCAGAACAGAGTACTCCCTACAATAATATTTTCTCTTCTGTTCTGTAATTCCCATTTATTATTTTTAGAAAACACATTTTTAATCACCAGAAAGAGCTGTCATTTCTTGTGCTATTTCTGCCCAAGTTGCAAGTACTTCTCAGGGCTGGGGGGGCTATCAATCACAGATGCTTATGTACAAAGTAAGGAGCAGGACCCTAGATCAGAGCTCTCTGCAGAGAAGATACATTGAATTCTTAAGGAAAATAAAATCTTACCCATGAGTCAAGCAGAGCGACAATGTTGCAAGAAGAATGATTGTCAGAAGACTAAATATTGCAGTCATTAGGCTGATTAAAGAGTGAAAGTGTCTGAAGTCAATGGGGATTTAACCAGGGTCTGAAACCACAAATACAATGTTTAGAGATGCTTATCAACAACAGCTGACATTGATTTCCATTGGAGTCCAGAAGGCTCAGTACTTTATAAAAATCAGACTTTATATTTTATCAAGGTTTTGTTACTGTTAATGAATTCTTTAAAAAGCTTTATTATCTGCTCTTTATAAGAGCACTCATTATCTACCTGCTTTGGGATATCTCTGATCTACACGCTTGACCAACAGCATCTAATAAATGCAAAATTATGTTTTCTCTAGATCAATACCTGTTAAATGTTTATGAGAGTTCACCCAGTACAGCATCTGCTACAATTACACTCCAGGCAACTTTCACACAGAGTGCCAGGGTTTCAGAGAAACCTGTAGGAGCTGGTCTTTGATGATTCTTGTGGGTCCCTTCCAATTCAGAATATTCTGTGATTCTGTATTATCACAAACATTCTCAGAAAGTCTTCAGCACTAACACAGTCCAACAGAGAACACAAACAGGCTCACTTCCTTCCCAGGGTTTTATCAATAAGTCAGAACCTTATACAACATAAACTTCAGCACAAACTTCCTCTCCAAGTTTCAGAGTCATTAGGATTTGCTGCTCCTGCCACAAATTCTTTCTGAGGCAAAAGGCTTCTGTTCCATTCATATCCCACTTCAACTCAACTGGACCCACAGGGGATCAACCTGTCAGCAACAACTCTGTGTCTCTGTGCAGGGTTTAGCTGCTGTCCCTAGACTAACTCAGCAAAGTCAGTCTGAAGGCAGGGAGAGGTCAGGGCCTGCCAACCATGTACAGGCAGCTGAGCTACAACCGACCTGGACCAATCCTGCTGGGCAGAAGCAGCAAGACATCATGGCAGCTCCACTACTCAGAAGCATCACAAGTTTTACATAATTTCTTGGTGGTTTGCAAAGTACAGACAATTGGAGATGGGTGTGAGAACAAAAATCATAGGTGACTAACGAAAGGTGCTTTACTTATTCTATTACACCCTATGCTATTGAAAATAAAAAGTGCAGATTTGAAATAAATTGCTCTGTGCCATATAAAAAATGAAAATAATTTGATTTTTAACCACATCATTTCAATTTCTCTGGAAAAGCAGAAGAGCATAAACTCACTTAGTCTGCTATATCTAAAGAACCCCTTTTAAAATGGAGCCATTGTCTCTAAACTACTAATGATAATAAGCCTAAAGAACTGCTATGGCCTTTAAGCAAACTATTTTTAAGTATTTTATGGAGTAATGGAGAATTAGAAAAATTCTAGACCATTTTCATCAGTGCTGAAAAAGGCTTCCATTAAAAATGTGCTAATTCAGCCATTCAGCCAAAAACATGAGAGAAGCCAGAGCCCAGTACCTGTAGGCTGTAAGGGGAGAGTGGGTAGGAGAGGGAGAAGCAGCCGCTCCAGATGATAGCTGCTTCCAAGTTGGAGTTGTGTTGGAACCAATGCAGACATGTGGCACCTCTTCCTCCCACACAACCCATATCCGGGTTTTAGTAGGTTTCTGTGACCTTTTCCAGTGCCACGGATCATTTATAAAGCAAAAAGAAACAAAATCTGAGATAGTACCCCAAAATCTGTACTCTGGCCAAGCTATGTTGAAAGGGAATAGTATGTTCAGATACAAATCCAAGTCAAAGTGGAAAGCTGTGTGCCCAAATTGGACTGAAGATCAGACTAATGTCATTAAGGCTTTTGAGTGATGTAGTAGGTACATCACAATGGTTTTACCACCTATTCTCAAAGGCATGGGTGAGATAAACCCAGCAAAGCTTTTTAACAACCTTCATGGAATATATATGGGTCTAATGCATGTCTGCTCAACAGACATGGGCGATATCACCAAATCTCACCCTACATGGGGAGAAAGCGCCACGTGAGGACCTGATGTGTGCAGCTGTAATCAATCACGACCGACATTCCCTCTAGAAGAGAGTCTCTCACTTCAATCATCACTTCCCAGTTACATTGCTCACATTTCAGCAAGTCCAGAAAATTATTTAAGAAAAAATAGCAGAAATCATGCAATTACCAAAAAAGTCGGGAATATGTGAAAGCTGCTTTATCATGGCTATAAAGTCTGGGTGCCTCAGAACACAGGGTGCAAACACAGGAGGTGGGGGTACCACACAGGTACATTTGAAAGGACTGTATGGCATGCCACAAGCCATAGGGCAGCAAGTGGCACAGTATTTGATTTCATTGCTACAGGATACTGAAAATATTGTAATGTGTGCATTAATAATTAATTTGGCATTGTAAAAGCAATTTTACTGTAAAACAGAGATGTGTGACTATTACTGGAGCCTGCAGGGAAACAAAGATAAATGTCCTTCCCCAGACCTCACATCATCCAAAGACCGGATTGGGAACACGATCCAGGACTGCTGACACCTTTTTCTGCTGCTGTCACCAGATCACATTACCACAAGCAGAAAGTCCTCTGAGTATTAGAGGTCATCTTCTATAGGAAGCAGGAAAATGGAGAGCCTGCTAGATGCAAGGAGAGGAGTGAAGTGTGGCTAGGACAGCACAGCAAAGCTTCCCTGAAAAGGCAAGCTGACTTCTCTCCAGAAATAGACATGGTGAGCACTAAAGACACAAGAGTTATTGAAGGTAAAAGTAAACTCTGGAACAAGAACTGACAATAAGCCATTTAAAAATGTTCATGAATAAATTTACACTGGTGATGAGGGGAACATCATTTACATCCTTATTCGGAAGTGGGAGGATAAAGGCAAGGGAGGAGGGGAGAAAGATGAAGAAACCCATACCTTTCACGGTTCAAAATTTCTAGGAGATGGCTCTGGCTTAGCAAATAACTGCTCTACATTAACCAGACAATGTATTTCTGTTCTATGTTGCTGTGCTGTTGAAGAATTGTTATCAAAATGCAGAGATGTCCTTCACTTTCTACTTCTCTTTTCTTTATTCCTTTATTTATTGTTCCTTCCTACGTTTTCTCACACCCATTACAAGTGCCAGGAGGTTCAAAGCCCCGGCAGGTTTGTTGCCACTTGGTCCCATCTCACATGTGTTATCTGTACAGAGACTAATGCATTACTTGGAACAGCCAAAGGCTTGAAAAGCTGGCAGTTGTTCAGAAACACCAAAAAAAAAAGGCTTTCAGGTCCCAATTAACCCAGGCCCAAATTCCACATTGTACAAATTGCTTGTGAATGGTGCTTTAATTTACCTCCAATTTGTGATAGCATCATTACCACATGGAGTTAGTGTGCTAGTCACAAACGCCATCTCCCTTTCAGAGTAATCAAAACATAATTGGGGATACATCAATATTTACATCAGGTGGGGTACAAAGAGCAATCTGCTGTAGACTTTGGTTGCAACCACTAGACCAGCAGTGCAGAAAATGGGGGTTGCTGGACAAAATGACAGGCTCAAAATGCCAGTGGTCCTGGATGGTCAATACCAATTAGAACAATTAAATGTAAGGCTTGCTTTTCAAAACTTGGAAGGGTTTTCAAAGGCAGCAGGTTTAAAATACCAGCAGAGTGCCATATTATCTGTACCATACTGTTATTTTTAATCATCCATGGCTCCATCCTCCCACATTCACCTTCCTTCTGAGGTTTCCATGCCTTTAGTCTCCCCACTGCAGTAATCCTAGAGTCTCCTATCATCTCCTAAGTCTGTTTTTTCTCAGATAAAGTGCTCTCTTTTTGCTCTTCTTTTGCCCTGCTGGTGTCTCTCCCAGCATGCTTCCTTCCCAGGGCTTATTAGTGCCTCTGCTTTGAGAAGCACATCTTTGCAGGTGACTGCTAAGTCCTCATCTGGAGTTGTGCCCCAGTTATGAAGCAGGTGCAATCAATAAGAAGGATGACTGGAGCTAGGCTGAGGACCCACAGTGCAGGAGAGGAGATAAAACGGGGTTAATTCCGGTATGTGAGAAAGAGGAGGGGGTTACAGGAAGGTTGAGCCAACTACAGCTTCTATATCTTCAAAGTACAGCCGCTGTATCTGCAGTGCATTTTAAGACTTAAATGTATCAAGAATAATACAAAGAGGAAATAACCTATATTTATATTTATATTTAGATTTATATTATATATGGTCAAACAGCTCATTCCTGACAGGATGCTCCCTGTCTCCTGTCTTGTAGCACCCCGTTTGTTACTCTGTCAATTTCCAAGTCGCACAGAGGACCCAAAGAGGACTCTTCATTTCTGCCAACATGGCAGCAGCTTCCTTTCTCTACCCTTCCTTAAGTGCCAATGGTTAACTTCAGTCCTTTTGGTTTTCTCCTTTCCTTCCCGTTCTGTGATTTTACTTGCCTTTGCAATAGAGAAATGAGGAAACTCTTACCAAATTATTTCCCCGGCTCTCCTTCACATCAGGTGTTCTGAAGTACTGAGCTCCACAGCAGTTCCTTCCTCTCCACCCTTCCTGTACCTCATTTCAAGAATTTCTTCTGCAAAAAGTCACATGCTTTTCTGCCTAAGCTTCCTCACATTTTCCAGGAGGAAGGGTAACTTCTGTGCTCTTTGTAACCCCCAATAGCCTTTCAGGAGGTGCACTTTTTGTTCCTCCTATCCCTTCCTCCACTGCCTTCTATACATACTGTACCCATTATATTGCCATCTCTGTGTTTTTTTCTCATTCCTACCTTCCAGTCTTCTTTCACGTAATTTTTTTCTGCTTCACAAATATCAGTCTACTACGGATGATCTTTCTGCCCACAAGAGACAGAGTCACACAGATTATACAAACAGGTTATAAGGAGAGATTTTATGTGCCCAAAGCATGTCTAGTTTTTCTGACTATGTCTAATATAAGCAAAACTTTACCCTCTTCATGGCTAAATCCTGATCATGGCTAAAACCCCACAGTTTGCTCCTCAACACACACCACCTGCAATGATTACCTGGGGGATGGTCCTCTACCTTCAGGCTGAGGATCTCAACTCTCCAGGTGGCACACCTCATGTCAGAGATGTGTTCTCTGCAAATGGAAACTCTTTCCTGAGAGTGAGGGTAAAGGCTGTTTTTTAACAACACAGAGAACCTTACTGCAATGGACCACCTATATACTTTACCAAATTCAGAAAAAAATTTCACCCTATGTTTTAAGGCTGGTTTGAAAGGTGAAGAATCCTGACTTCAATAGGGTGAAATAATATGACAAGGGTGGTGATTAACTCTCACCACAAAGGAAAATGTTGAGTTGATGTAGGTGGCATATAAAACCCCCCACTCTCTTTATGAGTCAGGTAAGCTGCTAGAAAGCAGAGGTGGAGTCCGTGGGATAGAGCTGTTTTCATTCCAGCCAGTCAGTAGTATGCTCTTTGAATGACAAAAAAAGAGAAAGTTTAATTATTAAATGATTTATTTTAAAAGAAGACTCTTATTTAAATAGCAAAATTTAACATTTGCCCTTGATCCCCAATGATGGTGTTTGTTCTCAGTGATAGTCAAAGGTAATAATTATTAAACTACTCCACCCCCCGCCCTCTGAGGTTAATGTAGTATTTTTGGTTTATACATCTATTCTTCCATCTCCCACCCAATGCATATGATCCTGCAGTCACAGCTCTCGCCTCTCCCTTTGGCTCCAAAGAAAGGGGAAGCTTGACAAGCCAGGATCCCAGTCTCACCCCATATAGAGCCCTTTTCAGAGACAAAGCTTAGAACTGATAAAGAGAAAGCATTTCTCTCCCAATAACTGCAGAAAAGTGGCTTAATGAATGTATAAACCAAAACGATTGGGTAAAAACACACCATTTAGTGAGGTCTTATTTTGTGTCAGTCCAGGATCCAAGGGATAATTCAAAGAGATGGTAGTGTCCCTTACCTAATATTATAATCTTTTCATTAAAAAAACCCTGAAAGTGAGAAATGTAAAGAAAATGTCCTTAGGTCCTTGAATTCAAAGGACTTGTAGTCCTCCTCCAGTATTGTCAGTCAGAGCATAACAGCTGCTCTGTTCACAGTGCACACTGAGCAAGATGCTTTCCTAAGTACACTTCTGAATTTAGGAACATTTCCCACACACTTAATTCTTCAGTCTACTCAATATATGTGTTGGCAATGGGCAGGAGCAGTGTATTTCAGGTGCTGAGGACGGGATGCAATAGGATCAGACCATCAGCAATGAGTAATTCCTTTGTTTCATCTGGAGAATGGAAGACATGGAGTAGAGTACAGGTATATGTGTACACATATATATGTAATATATTATTATAAATATTTATTACATTATTTATTATTTTACATATATATGTAAATGTAAGGGATGAAAAGGACAATAATAAAAGGAACAGCTTGGAGACAAAATGTCAAGAGGAAGGTAGAATAAGACAGTGGATGGAAGTGGGATGTCAGAAAGGAGACAGCAGGAGAAGATATAAAAAGAAAGACAGAAAGGGGGGGGAAATATGTAAGAAGGAGAAGATATACGAAAGAGCTAAAAAATGAGAGAAAAGCCATGAGTGGACAAAAAGCAGAGAGAGGGGAAAGGTAAAGTAACCAGTGCAATGTTTGGCAAGGCAGAAATATTGAAGCATAAATAAGGTAGAGAAACTCAGAGGGTCATAAGAAGAAAAAGAGGTTGCACTGCAGAGAAGATGTGAAATAAGTAGTAGAAAAAAAAATCACCTGCTGGCACAGCACTTCTGAGAGTCACGGGTGAGAAGTGCTGCTGTCCCAACAAGGGACAGAGCCAAACCCCAGGAAGTGACAGGCTAAACCCAAGGAGAACAAAGGATGAGGCTGGGAGAAGATAAATGATACCCTTGTACTAGGTTGCTGCCTTTTGTCTGAAATAGAAATCACAAAGGTCATTGAAATGGCTGCTTAAATCTTACATCTGATACTTTAAAAGGCTCTTATTTTTTCCCCAATACAATAATTCTTCTTCCTTTTCTCTCAACATTGAATTAAATTAATTACTATACACTCCACAGTTACACCTCCCAGCCAGAGAAGAAAACCCCAGACACCATTATGCTTAAAGCAGACTTGCTCTCTGGCTCCCTTTGCCTATAAAGGTTTCTGTAGAAATCTTTCAGTAGACAAAGCTAGATTTCCAGCAGCTCCAAAATCACCATGATGGAGTTGGCTATCATTAGCAAGATGAGGAAAGAAAGAGGAATCAAACAGGGGTGTGCGCTCAGGGAAAAAGCTTTTTTGTTTTTATAATTAGGAAATCTTACCAGTATAGAGGGAAACAAATTGCTACTAGTATATAATCTGTCACTCCTTTGCACATCAAATAATAGGAACAACAGGGATTGTGTGGGAAGTACATTCATATTATCAAATTCTTTCTGATATTAACATGTTCAATGCAATGAAAAGGTAATTAGGAAAATAATATACTGTAACACAAATACTGTAGAGGCTATAAAGTAAAAAAACCATGAAAATGAGTGTTTCCAGGACAGCTCCAGTCTGAGAAACTAGAGCTTTATTAGTAGTAACAGGAGCAACATATGGAGATGAATGAATGAAACCATGTTTGTAAATGTGATATGCAATTGCACGCTCTCACTTGGCTTTCCTTTTTCACAATCTGACTCAGCCTCTCCACTCCCCCATCTTTTGATTCATGAATTCTTGATCTCAAAAATTAAAGAGTTACAAAGGCAGCACACGAAGGGCATGAGATGATGTGAAATATGAGGACACTGGTGAGCACAAAATGTCACCCCCCTGCAAATAGACAAATCTGCTAGATGTAAGCAGCAGAGTCAGGGCCACCCTCTCCAGGGGCTCACTAGAGGATGCCATGCAGCAAACCACAGCTAATCTCCATTGCGCTAGAGGCACACACTGAGGTAGACAAATTTATTACAAAATTGTATATTGTATAATATTGCTTATGCTGTTCAGCAGCCACGCCGTTAGGCAGCCCCTCCAGCACCGAACCCAGAAGACTGGACGTGACAGGAATGAGAAATAAAAGGGTTTCTTATGGCATATACTCTCTGTATTTCTTAAGCTATAAAAAAGAGACCAAGGGTTAATGACAAGCAGCACAAAACGCAACAAACAGTGCATGAGCAGTGGTGTACAGCCCTATATGCTTACTAAATAATTAACAAGCACACATAGTGTTGACCCAGGAGGGTCTGTACATAGGATGATCCCTTCCTTCCCTGGGGGCCAGAGCTCCTCAGCGTGTGTGCATTCAAGCCGCAGACGGCCAGCCCAGCCCGTGGGCACCACTGGCTCACTGTAACCGGTGCCAGAGCGGCCCAGGGCTGGTGCTGGGCTGGGCTGCAACCCCAGCCTTGCCACCGCCGTGCCCCGGCTCGGGAACGGGCTTCGCCTTCAGAACCTGTTTCACTGGAGCGCAGCGAGCTCCGGCCATACGATTCCTAGGCTCGCAGCAAAGCACCGGCAAGGCTGACACCGTGTCCGTGCCCTCGCCAAGTGCGGAGCACGACAGAGCCCCTGACCCTGTGGTACTCAGGGTCCGGCACACGGCGGGGCAGCGCTGCCCGCACACCGCATCGCGGCACAGCAGCTCGCATGCTCGGGCAGCACAGCCCCGCTGCGAGCACTGCGGTGCCCGCTGCTGCCGCACCGCAGGCGGCCAGTGCAGTGGGGAGGGTCTTGCCTGCTGGGCGTCTGGACTCCTCCGCAGGCGAGCTCCGGGTAGGTGCGCACCGGGCGCGGCGCGGGGCTGCGGGACCGCTCGCTGCCGCTCCGCGCAGAGCCGGCGGGCGCCGCGCCGGGCGGGCCGCGGCACCGGGGACCTGCCTCCGCCGCCGGTCCCCACCAAGCTGCGGCCGGCGAGGCGCCTCGCTCTGCACCACCGCCGCCGCTGCGGGCCGGGCCGGGCCGCACCGCCCCCGCCCGCCCGCGGCCCCGCCCGCCCCCGCCTCTGCGGGATCCCGCCGCGAGGCCGCCGGGGGCGGGGCGGGCGAGCGGCGCGGCCCCGGCGAGCGGCTCGGGCGCTGCGGCGGCGGCGGCTGCGCGGGCGCTGGGAACGGCGGCGGCGGCGGCGCGGACCGGCACCTGCTGCTGCCGCCTCGCCTGCAGCGGCGCCGCGCTTTGTCCGGGCGGAGCGGAGCGGAGCGGGCGCGCTCGGCCCCGGCCCCGGCGGCGCGCGGCCCGGCCCGGCCCGGCTCAGCGACCGGCGGCTCTCGGGGCGTCGCCTGGCTCCGGCGGCCTGGGCACGGCGGGGAGCGTGAATGAGAGTTTGCTCCGATTTCCGAGCAGGGTGAGTGCCGCACCGGCCGTCTCGGGGGAATAACAATAATTATAAAAAAATTAATAATAACGGTAATAGTAATATATTTTTTTTTGCTTGTATGTTTCTTTCTGTACCAGCCGGGCACAGGTCCCCGGGCCGGGCAGCGGGACCTGCTGGCCCCGCGGGCTGGGGGGTGGACGCGCCCCTCGCTCCGGGGTAGGGCTGCCCGGGCCGCTCCCGGAGCGGGTCCCTCGGGAGGGGTTGCTGTTCGTTGGTCCTTCGTTTGCCTTTTGTTCGGCTCTCCCGGGTCCGGTGGGGAAGGGGCGGACCGGGGCGCTGCGGGGGAGCCACCAGAGGTCTCGGCCGGTGGCCCAGCTCTCCGGGCCTTTGCGGGAGGCGGGAGATTGTCCCTGGGCGCGCAGGGAGCGTCCGGCTGCCCCTCTCCCTGCTTCCCGGGCGGAGGAGCGGCCCTGCTCTCCTCCCCGCGCCCCTCCGGCGCGGAGCAGCTGCCCTGGGCTGCGGCGACGGGCGGTGGCATCACCACCACCGGCTGTAGTAAACACAGCGCATGGGGCGGCGGAGAACCTGGTAAAGGTCACATCCCTGTGTGCACACGCAGCCCGTCCCAGCTGGGCTCGCAGTTGTTGTCCTGGGGACCGTGTGGTGGGTGCTGGTCCCTGTCCCCTCGGTGCCGCGCCGCTGGCTCTGGGCACAGCGGTGTTTCCTATGGCTGCGTTCGGGGATCTCCCTTGGCGAGGGGGAAGCGGTGCAAGCTGTGTCGCCCCCTCCTTTACCTCCTGCCGCTCCCGGCCGGGTTGGCGCTGAGTGGCATCCTATTTGGCAGTAAGAGCTGGGAACGCGGGTTATGTTGTGGGGTTTGCTTCATGAGCGGTAGCTGAGCCTAGCTGAGTTAGGGGCTAGCCACATGTTAAATAGCAGCCAGGTATGTACTGATCCCTCAGAGCATGCAGTATCTGGATGCATCTTAATGTGGAGCAAATGAGGCACGGGAGTGCTGGAGGAGTAGGACCAGAGAAATGCAGCTGGAGAGCTTACTTTCAAGGAGACTGAGAGGATGGCAGAGCCGCGGTAAACGGCTGTTAGACAGGTCGATAGGTGTGCGCTTATTTTGTGGACCTCCTCCATGCTTCTGTGGGTCGTTGCTGAGCTTAAAAGCACGTATGGCGCGAATTGGAAATGACAACTTTTTGTCACGTTTTTGTGTTGTGCTTCATTGCTGCAGCATTTCAGATTGAGTAGATGTGGTACTGTTAAGCTTGTGTGGATGTGGAATGAATGATGGACAAGTTCTTGGGTATCACATTTCCAGTGGCGGTTGAGATGTGGGTGAGGAGAGGAAATATTTAATAAAGTAGGGCTCCCAGGTCCCTGTGCTCTGACAACATCCTGTCTTAGCTTTTAACATATGATAAATAGTTTCATTCCTCAGAATTAGAAATGTTAGTTTAACTTTTAATTTTTTTAATGCCATATTTAGTTATCAAATACCCTATCTAGTTATTCAGAAAGGGAGGGCTTTTTTTAGTCCTAGTCTGTGTTCTGCTGAAGCTGACATTTGGGGTATTAGCTTTGAAGTGGGTAAAATATAAAATTGGTCATCTTATGACACCAAACTGTGCAAACTTCCAAGAAAGCCCAAGTTATGTTTCACTGTTTTTCTTGTGGTGGCCACAAGAATTTTTGGTTCATCCCTCTGCCCTAATAAAGGCAAGTTTGGACTGAGATGCCAGACTGAAGATGAGCCATGTCGTGCTTCCTGGTCTGCAGGTAAGCACTTGGAGCTGGTTTTGTCCAGTAGTAGGTGGGACTAACCTGTGCTAAAGTATCAGACTGATGGGTTTAGTTTATTTTTTTCTCGTTTAACTGTGGCACTGGTGAGACCTGATCTGCTCAGCATGTCCTTGTTCAGGAGTTGGCTGTCGAGTGGCGTGGGGTAGCCTGCTGTTGTTTGGATGTGTATGTGCCACTCCTTGGCATGGTATGGCTTCTGCTCCGGGTGAAGGCATCAGTCAGGCTTTGACCTCCTGCCTAATGCCTTGTGAGCATCATCGCTGTGGCCTGGTGACCTGACGTCAGCGCCTGCAGGGGCGGGAGGAATTAAGGGCAGCAGCTGGGAAAAGTCTGTCCTGGCTCTGCTTTTCTGTGGGACGTGGTTTCAGGGAGATTGGTAGAAGGGAGTTCACAGCTGAGGAGGCAAAATCAGGGGGCTGACTGGCAGCCCTGCTGTCTTCCTGGCTGGAAACTACTTCCTGGTGGTAGCAGGTAACGGATGCAGAAACTATTCCTTGGTCCTATGTCTTCTCTTCCCGGTGTGTGATATTCAAAGCTTATAGGAATAGAAGTTCGTTATTAGAGTGAATGGCTGAGGCAATATTGCATACCAAAGAGATTCAGTATTGTTTGAAACTTGGGAAAAAA